GCTCCGGCTCTTCTGGTCTCGCCGCCCGCAGACCTCACGCCGGACTCACCGCCCGCAGACCTCATGCCGGACTCGCCGCCCGCAGACCTCACGCCGGACTCGCCGCCTGCAGATCTCCGGGCTCCCACGCCGTCTGCTGCAGCCCTCCAGGCTCCCACGCCGTCTGCTGCAGCCTTCCAGGCTCCCACGCCGTCTGCTGCAGCCCTCCAGGCTTCCACGCCGCCCGCTGCAGCTCTCAAGCCTCCAGTGGGTCCCAAGTCTCCTGAGGGGTCGACGCTCTCAGCATCTCCAGAGGGGTCGCCTCCATGGTTGTCGCACGCTGCAGTCCTCCAGAGCCCCAAGTCCTCTTCGTCGCCAGCTGTGGTCTCCAAGCCCTCTTCGCCAACAGCTGTGGACTCCAAGCCCTCTTCGCCACCAGCGGTGGTCTCCGGGGTCTCTTCGCCAACAGCTGTGGACTCCAAGCCCTCTTCACCACCAGCTGTGGACTCCAAGCTCTCTTCGCCGCCAGCTGTGGACTCCAAGCCCTCTTCGCCAACAGCTGTGGACTCCAAGCCCTCTTCGTCACCAGCTGTGGTCTCCGGGGTCTCTTCGCCACCAGCTGTGGTCTCCGGGGTCTCTTCGCCACCAGCTGTGGTCTCCAGGGTCTCTTCGCCAACAGTTGTGGACTCCAAGCTCTCTTCGCCGCCAGACGCGGTCTCCTCGCCGTCTACGCTGCCAGACGCGGTCTCCTCGCCGTCTACGCCGCCAGACGCGGTCTCCTCGCCGTCTACGCCGCCAGACGCGGTCTCCTCGCCGTCTACGCCGCCTGCCGCGGTCTCCAAGTCGTCCACGCCGCCTGCCGCGGTCTCCAAGTCGTCTACGCCGCCGGACGCGGCCTCCAAGTCGTCTACGCCGCCGGACGCGATCTCCAAGTCGTCAACGCCGCCGGACGCGATCTCCAAGTCGTCAACGCCGCCGGACGCGGCCTCCAAGTCGTCAACGCCGCCGGACGCGGCCTCCAAGGTTTCTGCGCCGCCGGACGCGGCCTCCAAGGTTTCTGCGCCGCCTGACGCGACCTCCAAGGTTTCTGCGCCGCCTGACGCG